CGTTCTCAATAACCACGCCTTCAGTTATGATATTTCCGTTCCAGTTCATATCATCCTCCGATCTGGTGGAAGTATCACAACCATGGCGGCAGGATATCTATATGGCAAGAGGTATTCTCAAATGCAAGTTGTTGCCGTCGTCCTCTTAACACTCGGCGTCATCTTGGCTGCATGGTCGGATGCTCAAGCCAAGGTAGGCATTCCTTCTCTGAGCTTTGCTAGGCATACGCTAATAATGAATCTTGGCTATAGGGTACGAGTGACAGCAGTGGCCGTCCAGCCTTCAGCACTGGACTGGTGATCCTCTTCGTGGCTCAGCTTCTTTCGGCCATCATGGGGCTTTACACGGAGGCAACATACGCCAAATACGGCCCTCAGTGGAAGGAGAACCTTTTCTACTCGCATGCCCTCTCCCTGCCTCTGTTCCTGCCTTTTGCTCCCTCAATGGCACGTACTTTTGCTCATCTTATGACGAGCACCCCGCTACAATTCCCAGGCGTTTTCGGCTCGGCGACCACTAAGTTCCAGATTCCCAATCAGATCCTATTCCTTATTACCAATGTTCTTACTCAATATGCTTGCATCCGGGGAGTCAACCTTCTAGCCGCTGCATCAACGGCTCTCACCGTCACCATCGTCCTCAACATCCGAAAGCTCGTCAGCCTACTTCTAAGTATTTGGCTATTTGGCAACAAGCTAGCTCCTGGTACACTTCTCGGTGCTATTATTGTTTTCAGTGCCGGCGGGCTATACTCAGTGGGTTCGAGAAAGAAGACACCCGCGGACAAGGGAGTTTCTGCCAGGGAAAACAAAGCAAGCTGAGGAGCCCCTTACATGTTTTCGGTATAAAGGATTTTCGCAAAGCTCAACGAATTGTAGACGGCGTCAATGGTTTAGCTCGATATTGCATATCATGAGACGATCGGAGTGTAGACGGACGTTTTGTCCAATGCTACCATGTAGGCGTTATGGTGAATCTTATATGCTAACGAATAACAAAAGCTAAAGGGTTTATATAGACTAGACAATCGAGAATGCCATTTTCGGATAGACCGTGTGTACTTACCATAGCTGTGTTCATAACAAGTAGTCTATAGTGCTTGTAAGGAGGAGTCCTCATACCGCACAAAACACCAACGACATCCATTGAAAAGGACATTGGAAGTAACTTGGACGGAATTATATGTCGTTCGGGTCCAAGTTGGGAAGGACATGGATGTCCAAACCTTCCAACGCATCTTTAAGGTTGTCATTCGAGCGCTTATCATTCGGGTCTCCAATACCAGCGCGGGGAACGATATCCAGATGCGCCCTGTAGTCAACCTCTCCCCTCCACAGGTTATATACAACTCATACACTTACAAACTCACAACAACAATTATCGACGCCAACTGGAGCCTGTATCTAATATTCAACTGCTATCATCCAGGGTTATTTGCTCGGCATGTCGCATCGACAAACTGGTTCTCAGAAGACAACCTTTAAAGGAGAATCTACTATATCAAGACGACGATAGACTATTTCGCGCACTACAGTTCGTACCCAACTCGATCAGCTGTGATCAACCGGGTGGCATGACTGCTTCAGGCTCAATTGGCACTCTATCAACGACGACAAGTCTACGTGGCCCGTTCCATACCACTTATTCTGGGATCGTGATATCGCTGAATGGATTGAGGGGGCTTGTTACTTCCTCGATGAGTATGACGAGGATATTGATCAGAGTGTCTGCGCGCTTGTGGGCATGATCAGCCCAGCTCAGCAGCAAGACAGCTACCTGAACCGTTTGTTATACTGTGGCTGAACCGGGAAAGAGATGGGCCAACATCCGGGATATGCATGAACTGTAGGTCGTCCAACAAATCCAGGGTTTTACAGGAAGCTGACTTAGCGGCACAGATATAATGCCGGCCATCTCATAGAGGCCGCAGTTGCTCATAAGGAATACTGTAAGAATAACCTACTTCTCGAGCCTATTGAGAAGTATGTTTCTCTCATCATGGAACATTTTGGTCACGGAGAAGACCAGTCAAAAGGCTATCCTGGTCATCCTGAAATCGAGCTATCACTTTTCCAATTGTACACTACTGCAGGTAATACCGGAGTTCGACCTGGCACAGTATTTTCTGACGGAACGAGGAAATACTAGTGGACATGAAGGGAAACCTCCGGCGACTGGGAAAGAGAGAAGAGAGGCGAAATCCCGTGGCTGCGGTCGAACTCATATCCTCGATCGGGGACTTATTGGTATTGTCAAGCTTATGTTCCAATCACAGCACAAAACACAATTGAAGGACATGCTGTCAGAGTTGGATACCTTCTAACTGCTGTTGCTGACATGATGCATATCTCTGCAGAGGGTGGAAATGCTTTATCTGATGCCCAAGCATGGTCATAGGCATTGCATAAGCTGTGGGACAACATGGTTGGCAGGAAGATGGCCTTGACTGTAGACATCGGTGCTATGGCACAGTGGGAGGGCTTTGGAATTGACTACTTTCTCCTCCAAGGAACGGATGAAAGGGGCTGCTATGCGGATTGCGCTTACATTGCTTTCGTCATGCTTACGGCGCGAACATTACACCTTGATCTCGATACTAAGATGTTATCGAGCTGTCTTTACAACACTATCACAACGGCCATGAGTTTATATGGTAAACCTTTTACTTATACAACTTTCCAGCTCTGAGACTGATAAAAACTCGCGTGAGATGTGGTTCTAGTGCGCTTATTACCCTCCAAAATTGATGAGACTATTCGGCAGTTTGGGCAGTTATCTTTAGGATTATGGTGCTAGTGACAATGGCGTCTCTGTGAATTTCCACTTGTACACCGGTGCCAGTTGCAGTTCAAGGCGGGCTACCCGACTATCACGCTCCGGCAGAAGACCAACTGGCCGTGGGAGGGCAAGGTTGACTTTGAGTTATCGTCTCCATCATTTTTGCAGACCACCATCCAGCTTCGTTTGCCCGCTTGGTCCAAGTGAAGATTCACGTTGTACCCACCAGCGAATTTGACCGCCTCAACGGTTGAGAAGGTTTACATATCTCTACGGCCTTTCTTTCTCTCTGGAAATCCTCGGTTCTCAGTATACATTCATGGTTTCGAGTCAAGATTTATATCACCCAACCCCTTCTCAAATCAACGTAACTTATCCCTCGTAAGGGGGCCAATCGTCTATTGCGTCGGGGATTTCGATGACCCCTCGGAGTCTAATCATTTCAAGGATGTACTCGTTCAGACAGACTCGTCAGTGACTGATGAGAAAGTGGTCCATGAAGCATCCGGCGAAGAGTACGTCGCGATGCAAGCTAAAGGGTGGAAGCAGTCACCTTGAGCACTTGGATCACTATCGCTATAGACTGCTGAATCTGTGATTAAAAAAATTGTTCCATACTATTTCAGAGCCAACAGGGAAGGGAATGGTCAGATGAGGGTTGGTTTAACAAACGGTGTATCGAGCCAGGCATTCTTTTCCCTGAGAGACTCTGACTATGCTTCGCCAAGGGCCTAGCGTATAAGCATGGCTTCAAGGGGAGAAGACTATCGGGTTTATTCATTCCGCCTTTACCTAAGGCCTGGCCAAGGAGTTGGCTGATATTGAGTGATATCGTTGCTCTTTCGAGTACGTCGCGGCGCAACACTTAAGACACGACTAACATTGAGTTTTAGATGATAAATTTGTTTCTCTGAAAGGCGTACTTCTTTGATTCGATTTAGAGAAGCTGCCTCTATGTATGATTAGATCTATGACATATGTATCTGTAGTGATTCACTTACATTCCCCTAGCAAGCTTGAAACCCCCAAGAATAAGAAGCGGAAAGTAATACCACTGTCAAATTCATCTTGCTTGAATCCGTATATATACGATGTTTAAACCCAATGCCCAAAACACTTACCCTATCACTCTTACTGCCTCAAAAGCTCCTCGTCTAGGGGTCTCCCCTATCAAGACCGGGGATTTGACCCGATACTACGGTTGCAGCAACGGGCCATGTAACGCGGTAAAGTACCCGTAGTTCCGAATTTAACTTAGTGGAGCCGGCGGTGGTGATTCGGTTCCTAATATTCTCATGAGCCTGCTCCGTATTCTGTACCTACTCAGGTGGTACCTATGCTATGGCAGAGGTAGGGTGATTCTTCAGCGTATTCGCGACACTTGATAAGTCAGTCGAGATCAAGCTTGTACTACGAATTTAGTGTCTAACTAGGCTCTGAGAGATTGCGAAAGTACGTTGTCTATTAATATGATTGTAATTTATTCTCCTACATTCCTCGCAAGATGCTGAGCCCCATCTGCATCTTAATGCCTTACATTTATTTTATGGGGGAAATCATGAGTTGCAGATCTTATCGGCGAGAAGTCAACGTTGAGATCTCTTGACTGCAACTCTTCCAGAATCGAGGCTCAATACCCAGGTTGGATATTGAGTTGGGATATTGAGTCAAGGTTGGTGCTCTAAGTTGAGGCCCCTGTCTTGTAGGAGAACGGCGGGTACCGGTTCTGCGGAGCCCTATCTCGAAGAATATTCTGCTTTGAGGAGATTTATATGCATATCTGATATGGAGAAAAACCACTACTATCTTGAAACAGTTGCACAACACCTACTTCATCCGGTAAGGGAGAGGTTCCAAGAAGCAACTATCATGTGGAGCGTTGACTCAATACCGAGCGGATGCCTCAACGAGTTTAGATGGAACCTCTAACCCCCCCCCCCCCCCGGCGTGCATTGCACCGACTGCACTGCGCTATGACCCGCTATAACTAAACCCTGGTGTGTCACACCGTCATACCTTAGGTTCCCTTGGAGGTTTCGCTCTGTCTTTGCCTCTCTTATTGTAGGTAGGCACACTTCCTAGTGCTCTCCTCTTTCAAACGTCCTCTCGAGAATTAAAATCGAATCAATCACCATCCCCGAAGCCATTACTCTAGGAAGGAGTTACAAAATCGAGGGAAATTGATCTGCTAGCTAAATCGTATTCAGATAAAGGCATCGCCATGGCTGGTACGTATTCTACAGCTCGCCCTATCCCTCCGCCGCTACTCCAGACCCAATATCACGAACCCTACTTTGGTTCTCGACGATAACGACATCAATTGGAAACTTTTCTGACCGAGCATATGCCACAGGCGGCCCTATATTCGAGGAAAGCGAATCAAGCGCTCTTGATGTGCGGGCACGGGAGTCAGATGAGGAGATAGACGAGACTAGAGATTCTGGTGCAACCGGACATGGCGCCTCGCACAATGCCCCCTCTGACGCTGGCTCCCACACCGGCAACGAAGCTGAGGAGCTCGAAGATGGGATGCTTCTCCGCGACTTGCCCAAGAGAACTACTTTTTACGATCCTGTCGCTGAGCGTCAAATGAGCCAGACGGACGCAAAATACTTCTACCACCGAAACAAGGCCGATGCACGCAACGGTGGTGGGGCTGGCTACCAATCTATACCTCAAAGTCCTTTCCTTGCTTCTGGGTCTCGCCCTGCAACCGAATATGGTGCCGATAGTCTGGTGCTAGACTCGAGTGGTCGTCGAGTCGATTCTGTCCCTCCTGGTTTGGAGATGCCAAACCCTGCCGTTGACTCAGGTTTTACTCAATCGCCTACAAAACTCGATGCGCAGCCTGCCCCATTCTCACCTAGTCATCCTTCCGCCCTTCCTCATGCTGGTCAGGTTGCCCAGGATCCACGACTGCCTGATGGCTCCAGTAATGGCCTGCCCTCTGGTGGACTCTTTGACACTGAGCCCCATATCACTTCAGAATTGAGTGCTATCTCCAAGAACATTCAGAGAATCCTCGACACCAGGCGCAAATATATCGCCCTCTCGAATCAGGGGCCTGATGATAACCCAAGAGACGGCCCGGATTGGGAAATTTACCCCCCTCCACCAGAGCCGGCATGGCAGCAATCGTCGAGGCAAAGAGCAAGTACTACAGAGCATGTACCAGGTCAAGAGAATACTTGCTTGAACGGTAGTAAGGATGCTACTGGGTCCAAACCAGGCGAGTTGCCCCAGGAGCACCATGAAGGTAGACGCTCGGCAAGAAGGCGAAAGCCAGGTCAAGATATTGGCGAAGATTTTGATATGGCTGACATATTGCCTCTGCCGGGCGATGATGGACGCTCATACAAGTTGGACGATAGCGGAGTCTATCAAGTATTCGAAGGCCACGATACCCAGACGCCTGCGATCAAGGTTCCTACAATCAGGGAATTCTACATGGACCTGGACGACATTCTTGACGTCTCTTCTGACGGACCTAGTAAGAGTTTTGCATTTCGACGTCTCCAATATCTCGAGGGTAAATTCAACCTATATGTCCTCCTGAATGAGTATCAAGAAACAGCCGATAGCAAGAAGGTTCCTCACCGAGACTTCTACAATGTTCGAAAGGTAGATACCCACGTTCATCATTCTGCCTGCATGAACCAGAAACATCTGCTTCGCTTCATTAAGAGTAAGATGAAGAAATTTCCCAACGAAGTCGTCCTGTTTCGTGATGGAAGACATCTCACCCTAGCCGAGGTCTTTGCTAGTATTAACCTGACAGCTTATGACCTGAGCATTGATACATTGGACATGCATGTAAGACTTGCTCTTTGAACTCGATATTGCATTTAGAGATTTGAGTCACTAACTGCTGCAGGCTCATACGGATTCGTTCCATCGTTTCGACAAATTTAACCTCAAGTATAATCCAGTCGGAGAGTCCCGTCTTCGAACCATCTTTCTCAAGACAGATAACTTTATACACGGCCGGTACCTTGCCGAAATTACCAAAGAAGTCATATCTGATCTTGAGTCAAGCAAGTACCAGATGGTTGAGTGGCGCATATCCATTTATGGCAAATCAATTGATGAGTGGGACAAGCTTGCGGCTTGGGTGGTTGATAACAAGCTGTTTTCGCACAATGTTCGCTGGCTTATCCAGATCCCTCGCCTCTACGACGTCTACAAAGCAAGTGGTCTCATGGAGACGTTTGAACAGGTGGTCAAGAATGTCTTTCAGCCACTCTTTGAAGTCACAAAGGACCCATCAAGCCATCCAAAGCTGCATATCTTCCTTCAGCGAGTGATTGGTTTCGACAGTGTTGACGACGAGAGTAAAGTTGAGCGTCGGCTGTTCAAGAAGTTCCCTGTGCCGAAAGTATGGGATACCAAACAGAACCCGCCATATAGTTACTGGATTTACTATCTGTACTCTAATCTGGTATCGTTGAATTACTGGCGCAGGAAGCGCGGTTTCAACACGCTGGTCCTGCGACCCCATTGCGGAGAAGCTGGCGACAGCGAGCACTTAGCTGTTGCCGCCTTGTGTTGCCATAGCATCAGCCATGGACTGCTCCTGCGCAAAGTCCCTCTTCTTCAGTATGTCTTTTATCTGGACCAGATCGGCATCGCCATGTCACCGCTGAGTAACAACGCCCTGTTCCTTGCCTACGAGCGGAATCCTTTCCACCAGTACTTCAAGAGAGGTCTCAATGTCTCACTGTCTACGGATGATCCTCTGCAGTTTGCTTTCACCAAAGAGCCATTAATCGAGGAGTATGCGGTTGCGGCACAGATTTACAAGCTCAATTCAGTTGACATGTGTGAGCTCGCCAAGAATTCTGTTAAACAAAGCGGTTACGAGTTGTCCATCAAAGAGCATTGGTTAGGGCGTGGCTGCAATAAGCCAGGAAAGGAAGGAAACGCCATGGTTAAGACAAATGTTCCTGATCGAAGGGAAGAATTCCGCTACTTCACCTTGGTGCAGGAGAGAGACGTGTAAGCGACTGGCCATTTCCGTAAGATTGATCATTTATGCTAATACGATTGTTCCCAGGCTGTCGAAATATGTCACTTACAATGCTACAAATGAGCCTCCTACGCAAGCTTCTGGCAATGAAAGCAAGATGTCAGAGTCAGTGACGTCCCTGACTGGCCAAACCGCTGGCTTGGGAGTCGCAACGGGCAGTGAGACTGCCAATGTCGAGACTTCTTCACCAGTTGGCCATCACATTGCAAAAGTCGCATCCCAAGCTGGTCCGTCGGCCGGCCGAGATCAAACATGGTCCAGCGATCCTATGTCAGACCATCATCTTTCTGGAACCGATCCGAGAATGTTCCCAGGCATTTTTACTCGTGGACACCGCACAGGTAGCCATCGGAATCTTGCTCAGTTTAATGACGACCGTGACACTGAAGACGATATTTTCGGCCCCGAAACCTGATCTTTGCTAGTCTCGGCCGTGTATTTCGATGCGTAACCATTTGAACACTGCGAATAGAATTGCTTTAGGTATTGGAATGGATGAACAATCGAACACACCCGACAGGTGTGGAAAGATAACGGCGCATGATGATTGAGTAATATACTATTTGCCCCGCCTTTGGCATGATCTGGGAAAACTTATGCATAATACTTTATATTTTTGCTATCGCATATGAATAATCAACAATATCGTTCAAGCTAGTGATTGAGCTTCGTTCATCAAGTTCACTCCTCGTTTTTGGCAGCTACTGTTAGACGATCAACGAGCTTCAACCTTGTGGTAGAGACGAACACAAAAAATCCCGGAGACGTAAAAATATATCGATCATTACCACTGATTGTTTTTTCAAACTTCTCATCTTCTATAATCTGGCAGCTGGGGTATGTGAAGCTCAAATGGCTTCACGTCCAAGATACAGGGTAGATTTACCTGCCGAGTGTTTAGTTTAAAGCCCAACGCTGCACCAGATAAAGGGGTGACGCACAACATGTACCAATGCTCCGCTTCTGGCGACCCAATCCGCCTATGAACGAATTAACACATAGTGGATCATATTCTACACCCACCCACGTTATACCGCAATCAGAGATTCTGGTTAATGAACTTGGTAGGGGGAAGGTACGGTACGTCGGATCGGTCCATACCTGCCTTACCAAGGTAGTCCATTGATTTGCTCCTTAGACAAACGACGCACTGCGTCACTTCGCATCGCATCGCATCGCATCGTAGCGTCTTACTTCTAGCCAACCCCTTCAATTCTCTTTTTTTATCATTTCTCTATACTTAATTCAACAGAGGTTTCCTGCTGAAGAGACGTACTCGCGCGGTGCAGCCGGTCGAGCCGAATCAAGACCTTCGACATGGGATTCCTGGGTGTCTTCCGGGCTCTCTACGACTACGTGCCCCAAGCTGAGGGAGAGCTTGCAATAAAGGATGGAGATTTGCTCTTCATACTTGATAAAAACGGCGACGATGGCTGGTGGAAGGCAAAGAAGAAGGCTGGCGCTGATGACGAGGAAGAGCCAACCGGCCTTATTCCTGGTAACTATGTCGAGGAGGTAAGTTGACGCCGAACAACCACAGCACCATCACAGCACGGGTACTAAAGCTTCGTTATTGGATTTAAAAGGCCCAGCCCGTGGACCATGCTAGAGCTCTATTCGATTACACGCGCCAGACAGATGAAGAATTGTCGTTTCACGAGGATGCTACACTTGCTGTCTACGACACGTCGGATCCCGACTGGATCCTGACTGGCCTTGACGGCGAATATGGCTTTGTCCCCTCCAACTACATCGAAATGGGCGCATCTGCTGAGTCTGCTCAGCCGCCGCTGCCGTCTCCGCCGCCCGCGCTACCTTCAAGACCACCACAGGCTCCCTCGATCCCCTCCCCCGAACCAGAGGTGGCATCTCCGGACCTACCGAATGACACAGCGCCTACTCCTTCGAACCCTGCTGCTGCCATCGCAGGCGTCATGCATGGTCGCTCAGTTTCTCAACAATCTCAGCAACCTGCCGCTCCTCGACAGCCCCCTCGTGCGTCTGTTACGTTTAGCGAACCCCCCGAAGTCGAGGACGAGCCCGTACGATCACCGACTCTGCCAGCCCGCCCAAGGGTACCAGCGCCACCATCTCCAACCTATGACGAACCCCCCTCCCCTATACACACCCGTAGTTTCCAAGACCACAGGGATCCGGATCGTCGCCAAGATGTCGAGCGTACTCCTGGCGGCTTTCATATGTATAACATCAACGAGATGATTTCCATCATGGGCAAGAAGAAGAAGATGCCCACAACATTAGGAATTAATCTTTTAACAGGTATCATACTGGTTGCTCCAGAGCATGCTTCTGATGGACCTTCACAGGAATGGACCGCCGACCGCATGACGCATTACTCGCGGGAGGGAAAGCACGTTTTTATGGAGCTTGTGCGCCCAAGCAAGAGCGTCGACTTCCACGCCGGAGCAAAGGACACAGCCGAGGAGATTGTCAGTATGTTGGGCGAATTGGCTGGTGCTGTACGTGCTGAAGGACTCCGTGAGGTGATCATGGCTGGGACACAAGGCAGCAGTGGTGGTGGCCAGAAAAAAGGCCAAGTCCTGTACGACTTCATGGCCCAAGGTGACGACGAGGTAACTGTTGCTGTGGGAGACGAGGTCCTTGTTATCGACGATACGAAGAGCGAAGAGTGGTGGCAAGTTCGCCGGCTCAAGAATGGTAAAGAAGGAGTCGTCCCTAGCAGCTATATTGAGATCACTGGCTCTATCCCACTACCCTCCTCTAGCGGTATAAACTCAGCCAAGTCCCTTGTCGAACAGAACCGCCTCGAAGAAATCCGATTGACCAAGGAAGCCATGAAGGCTGGCAAAGAACCTCAGCAGGTAGGACCGGGAATGCCTCTCCCTGAACGAGGCAGTAGCCTCATGGCACGAGAAACTGGTAGTAATTCGGGACAACAGCGGAGCCGTCGAGAAAATGGACGAAGTGATGGCGGTAGTCAAAGCCGATCAAAGTCTAGTAAGTCATCACTTGATTAGATTGCTCTTTTCACTTGGTTTTATGCTATGGGACTTGGAGCATCTGCTGACATGCCTTTCATAGAGCCTGACGCGTCCAAGGTGCGCACCTGGACAGACCGTTCCCGGTCTTTCAGTGTGGAAGCCCAATTTCTTGGTCTTAAGGACGGAAAGATTCACTTACATAAGATGAATGGTGTCAAGATTGCAGTTCCTATCACGAAAATGTCACGCGAGGATCTGGAGTACGTTGAAAACTTCACAGGTATATCCCTGGAAGACGATAAGCCGTTGGCAGACGTCAAGAGAGCTCGGTCTGCCGAAAAGAAATCCCCCGAACTTAGTCCTTCAGCAGGCGCAACGGTCGACAAGGATGCCAAGTCCGACTATGATTGGTTTCAGTTTTTCTTGTCTTGCGAGGTTGCAGTGGGGTTGTGTGAGCGCTACGCACAAGCCTTTATCAAAGATTCCATGGATGAGAGCGTGCTTCCCGATGTGGACGCCACCACTCTGAGAGCCCTTGGAATTCGCGAGGGTGATATCATCAAGGTCATGCGTACATTGGATGCCAAATATGGCCGCAGCCGCGGTGGAAAGAGAGAGACTGCTGACGGAGTTGATGGCGAAGGGGGTTTGTTTTCTGGACCCGGCGGTGCGCTACGAAACAACACTCGAAAAGGTCGACCCGCGCCAGCGGTCCAAACAAGTGATGTTGTTGATGCCAGTGCCTTTTCACGAGGCGATTCCTCCAAGGCTGGTGAAAACGACAGCAGATCACCCCCGCCCATAAGTCCTACAAATAAGAACCCCGAAACTCGTCAAGCATCGAGCTCAGGATTCGATGACGATGCTTGGGACGTGAAGCCTAGCAAGCAGCAATCGCCGCCTAAAGTTCAGCTTGCTGTTGAGTCTGTTCAGAAGCCTGCCCCTGAACCTGCCCCTGTCTCACCCCCTCCCCCGGCCTTGACTGGCTCGATGCAAGAGTTATCGCTCCTCTCAACGCCGCTTGAACCCACCAGGGCTGAACCAGCACCCGCCCCAGCACCGGCGCCTGTCATCGCCGCTCAGCCAACCTCGACACCCATATCGCAACCGTTGGGCGGCGCTACCCCCTCATTCTTTACATCTGTTGCTCAGGCTCGACAACGTCCTACACCCCCACAGGGTACTGCGAACCAGGGCTCTCTCGTTCCTCCACCACCTCAGCGACCACTTTCAGCCCCGCAATCAGCCCAGCCTAGCGGCTTTGCACCCCCCCCCATGATGCCTCAGATGACAGGTGCTCTGCAAGGCCAAGTTGCGCCTCCTGGCCAGAGCCTGAGTGAGATCACACAAGCCCGCCTGCAACAGCAATATACGGCTCAGATGCAGCAACAGCAAGCTCCTCAGCAAATGCAGCCCAATATGACTGGATTCCCAGTACAGCAAGGCCCTGGCTTGATGTCCTTCCCCACCGGTGCAGGACAGTTCATGCAGCCCATGATGACTGGAATGCAGGGACCGAATCAGTTCGTTCCCATGCAGGCTCAACCCACAGGTTTCCAATCGCCCTTCCCCGCCACTCAGTCGATGTATGGAGCACCTACAGGAGGCATCAACAGCTACCTGCCTCCAGCTCTTGAACCCCAGCGAACAGGTATGCCAGGATTGCAGCCCCAAGCTACTGGCATGACGAACATGGGTGTTATCGGTGGTATGAACAATGTGCAAGTCCCTCAGCCTCTGCAACCACAGCAGACTGGTCCAGCTCCTCCTGTGCGATTTGGCGTGACAAATGAGACCAAGAAATTAGCGCCTCAGGCAACAGGGCGTAGGGCCAACCTGTCGCAAGCGAGTACGTTGAAACGATTTCAGCTGTCGATGTGTAATGCTAATGTTCTCTATAGCCCCCCAGAACCCCTTTGGTTTTTAATTCTTGAAAAGCTTGTTAAACTGGTCGTCATTGCACGTTGTTTCGTCTTGTTTGCAAATACTCTGGACATCTTTCTTCACATCTTGTATGTATATGTCGACTTTGTCAGGTGAACCAACCTGAGTCAAGCGTGGAATAATAATAGTATATTTATGGCTGATCCTGGACAAGCCAGATCAGTCTCTTCTAATGTTCTCATCTATAAGTCTTCAATGTCGTAACAGAACGTAAATCATTGACTAGGCTAGGTCTCGTTGTGAAGTGGATGTGTAACCAATACCAAAAGGCAGTGGAATCGAAAAAAAAAAGGGTCACAGGGATAACACGATCAGACGGGAGAAAAAGATGGAGTGGCTCTTCCGTCCCATAGAGTTGTATTCATGGTCAAAAGTTATTGAAACTCGAGAACATACTTGTTCGGTAAGCGATAGGGGCAGTCTGAATGTGGCAGTCTGGATGTTTTCGGAGGCGAGCTCTCAGCCGTCACAAATCTAACTAACCGTAAGGGCTTTCTCAAAACGTCTT